TGCAAAATATTAGCCTTCATGAAACCCTATGTACAATATGCATACATAGAAAGCCCATTCGCACAGTCTCATCCTCATCACTGAACAACTAATAGAAGATCAATTTCCAAAAACTGAAAAAAAAAAAAAAAAAAAAACCTGTTCTCATTATCCAAAAGTAACATACACATCAGAGATGAACTTTGTAAATCAACACAAGGACAATGATGCCTACTGCTATGCTTCACAGGTGAAGGTGTGGGCTTTTACAGATGGATCAAAAGTTCACTTTAACTAAAAAGAGAAACACAGTTGTCTGAAGATCTAATAATACAAAGATCATTATTCTTAGAAAGTAGAATTCAGTGTTGCTAAGCGATGGGTGGCATCTTCAGTGCATCTACGGAGCTTGAAACAAGGGAAAGACATGATTTTGTAGTATGTAATTAGCTAGGAACTAGTAATTAGTGAATACCATTACACTCATCCATTTTCTCATGTACACTTGACATTTCTACATCTTCATAGTATGTACTACTCAAGGGCAGTTTAAGAAGCAGAGACCTAAGAAAAGAACTTGTGATGAGTAGAACTTGTCAGAATTTCACCTCTGTTTATATCATATAGAACTATTTGAATAACTGATTCCTCTTTTGGATCATAACTCCACCCAGGCAGGCATTCATTAGTTTGTTCTATACATCTCTCTTCTTTTGTACTCCAGATCTGGGATGGCTTTGCTGCCACTGCCTGATCTGCACAGGTGTTCAAAACTTGCTAATTCATTGCATTCAGTGGAGTGACTCCCAAAATGTGATAGGAATCTGTCTGTTAAACTAATTTCCTACTGGTCTTGCATCCGAAGTAAAGCCATTTTCCATTACTGATTCCCTTTTTCCCCCCAGAAAATCAGGGGATATTTCACTCTTAGATCCTTCAGCATACATAGTTACAGACAGAGTATGTCTTATGTTCCGTCCTGTATCAAACAGATTCCAGGCATTTTATTATACTCAGAAAGATTTTAAGGTACAAGAACTGTGTAGAAAAAGGAAAAATACTTCCCCCACACCCTGTCACTATGATTTACAGAAAAACACTGCATTAATTTTAAATGGATTCATTTTGAATGGATAATCATTACTCTCGAAAAGCATTTTTATGGAACACTTGCTAGTCCTTAAGATCTGTGCATCTTTGTGTACTAAACAACAGGTGTAAAAGATGCAAACATCTTCGTATGTAAGTAAGTATAAAGAAATAAATTCTATTTCTGTGAAAAGAATACACAAGTCAGGGTCCTTTCTATCCCACCACAGTTACTCCCCTAGCTTTCCCACATCCGGAGGCATAGCACACATTAATGCACAAACTGTCTTATGTCTGTCACAATTGTAGGGTATAAAAAACACAGAGTAATTGCAAAATTTTCCTTTTGTGAACCAGAATTAGTCTCTCCTGTGAGTGCTTCTGGATTTAGTTCCAGTATGTGCAGAAAGGAAACTGTACAGAACATGTAAACCACACACTAATTGCAGACTGCCTGTATGCTGGCATAAAGCAACCATTAATTCTTCACTGTGGGAAAATATTGAAAAGGTTAATACACTGCTGGTCAAACCATAGGTATTAAACAGTTTTCAATAGCAACCCAGCAGGTTAGAAGTTGTCACTTCTGTAATATCATGATGGTAACTTGCTGTAATTATCTACAAAGATGTCACTGGATTGTCACTGTCCAGAAAGCATGAAATGCAGCATTAGGTAGAACAAACATCATCAAAGGAAGGACTGCAGTTTTCAGACAACTAAAATATGCCCACATTAATAAGCAAAGCATATTATTACAATGATCTAAATTCAACAGCTTTGCCTAGGAGTCCAATCAATGAAGTAGCAAACATCTATAACTGGCATAAAGTAATCTATTGATTTCCAGGCTAATCACTTTTTTTTTTTCCCTGCAATATGAGTTTTAGCATTAAAACTTTGAGACCACATGTGTCATTCCCTAGCACTCTGTGGCAGCAGGTGATTTTAGATCTGTAAGAGAAAAGGGAAGGAGGCAATACTCTATACAGCATAAGCTGCAAAACCGAAGTGAATCCAAAACAACAGATACACATACTGAACTTACCAAATGGACCCTGAAAGTTTCAGTATTTACCTAGAACAAAATGCATTGCACAGATTAGATTCATTAGAACCATGTTACACAGCTGTGTGTCGGTGAGCCCAAAAGGGAATATGCTTAATCTGAGTTTTCCAGTCTGAACCTCTGCTTAAGTGCAGATTTGCTCAGAGCACTGTGCTGATCATTTATCAATGTAGCCTCACCTCATTAGGAGTAATGGAGTCATTTTTAAGTATGATCAGGTTTTGTGCACTCTGCCCACTCTGTCCTGTCAGATGCCTCTCAGTCATCACTGCAGAGGGACCAGTAGTTCCTGTTGGGCCACAGGTATTGTAAAACATAAAAGTGTCACTTCCTGATCCTGCAGTTAGGCATGCCTTATAGCAGTAGGTCTTAGTGAGAGACCCATTGCCCCTTACTTCAATGAAATGGGGTTGTACTTTTAAACCGTGGGGCAACCTAGCATCGATGTTGTTGTTGGCCTGCTTGTATATTTCAGCAGGGCACCGTTCTCTGACCCCACAGAACCCTGCACAGCAGGAGTCCCCATACAGACTGTATCTGTAGCACTTGATAACAGTAAGCCCAATGATTGTGAAAAGAAAAACGAAGGAGATGGCGCTCAAAGCAATAATGAGATAAAGCGTGATCTCTGAGTAATTGTTCGGACTTTTAAAGTGCCTTCTTGTATCAGGGATGATTTTGGAAACTCTATCCACCACAGCAACAGTGATGGCTACTGATGAGGACATTGGTGGCTCTCCATTGTCTCTCACCTCCACCGTCAGGTTGAAAGTAGGTGCGCTGTCCTCCCCCAGTTTGCGAGTAGTCCTAATCTCCCCAGTATGGAGCTCTACCCTGAACAAACCTGGATCTGAGGTTTGCACCAGATGGAAGAACAACCAGGCATTTTGTCCTGAGTCCCCATCAATGGCTATAATTTTGGTTACCAAATATCCAGCATATGCCAAGCGTGGGATCATCTCCAGGGCTGCTGAAGTGTTGGTTGAGGTAGGATACAGAATCTGTGGAGCATGGTCATTCTCATCTACCACGTAGATGTGGACAGTGACACTGCTGCTCAGTGGTGGGATCCCGGCATCCTGAGCCTGGACAACCACCTGGAACTCCCTTAGTGTCTCATAGTCAAAGGACCTCACAGCATACATGTTGCCACTATCGGATTTAATGGAGACATAGGAGGCAACAGGTAGCCCTTCAATCTCCCCATCTAGTAGAGAATAGGACACATAGGCATTTTCATCAACATCTGGGTCAGTGGCTTTGATAGTGCACAGCAAGGCTCCAAGGGGGTTGTTCTCAGGGATGTAAACTGAGTACACAGGTTCCTCAAAGTGTGGAGGATTGTCATTGATGTCGGAGATGTCCACATGGATCACCTTCTGGGAGGAGAGAGGGGGGCTCCCAGAGTCGGTAGCCGTAACTGTAATATTGTACGCTGCTGCTTTCTCATGGTCCAGTTTGCCCTGGGTGATCAAGGTGTAGGAGTTCTTGAAAGAGTTGAGTGTGAAGGGGAGGCCAGGGGGAATACGCAGACTCACCTGCTTGTTCAGCCCTGAGTCCTGGTCAGTGACACTCATCAGGGCCACCACAGTTCCTGCCTTTGCATCCTCTGGCACTGGGCTGTACAGGGAGGTCAGGACCACCTCAGGAACATTATCATTGGCATCCACAATGTTGACCAGCACCTTGCAGTGCCCAGCCATAGAGACAGGGCCCTGATCAGTGGCTTGCACATAGATCTCATAGGAGGATGCCTCTTCATAGTCCAAGGTACCATTAACCCGCACCTCCCCTGAGTGTGGGTCCACACTAAAGAGCTGCCTCACCTTCTGTGGGGTGTAGCTGCCAAAGGAGTAGATCACATCCCCGTTGGAGCCCTCATCGGGGTCTGAGGCGTTGAGTTTGACCACTAGTGTGCCAGGCGGGGCATTCTCCAGAAGGCTCACAGTGTAGGTGGAGCGGTCAAAGGCAGGTGGGTTGTCGTTGGTATCCACAACTCGCACAGAGATCTGGGCCGTACCGGACTTGGGGGGGTCCCCACCATCCACAGCAGTGAGCACCAGCTGCTGCAGGGCACTCTGCTCCCGGTCCAGCGGCTGCTGCAGCACCAGCTCCAGGAGTTTGCTGCCACTCTGGAAGCCTTTAAGGTCGAGGGCAAAGTGGCGGCTGGGGCTGAGCTGGTAGCTCTGCACAGAGTTGGTACCCACATCAGGGTCCTGGGCACTCTCGATGTGGAAGCGGGCCCCGGGCACGGCAGACTCACTGATCTCCAGCCGGTAATCCTGGCGGGGGAAGCGTGGCGCATTGTCGTTGATGTCCAGCACCTCCACCTCCACGTTGTGCACCTCGATGGGCTGCTCGATGACCAACTCCAGGCTGAGGAAGCAGGAGGGGCTCAGCTCACAGAGCGCCTCGCGGTCCATGCGCTCCCGCACCAGCAGCGCCCCGCGGCCCAGCTCCAGCTCCAGGTACTGCCGGCCGCTGCCCGAGGTAAGCCGGGCTCCTCTCGCCGCCAGTCGCCGCGGATCCACGCCCAGGTCGCTCGCCACGCTGCCCACGAAGGCGCCGTGCGGCAGCTCCTCCCGCACCGAGTAGCGGAGCGGCCCGCCCGCCGCCCGTCCGGCGCGCAGCCCCAGCAGCAGCAGCAGGCCCAGCACCACC